TTTTTTTTCACAGGGGTTTATTTGGTATTCTATTTTGTATTTTATGGTTGGGAAATTGAGCGTTGTTTGAAGTCTTAATTACGGGAAATACCAAGTTGGTTGGGTTGTAATTTTTGAGAAAAGCTTGTCAAGTTTGTTAAGTTTGTTAAGAGAATAGGATTGCCGTCCTGAGATATAAGCCCAATCCACCTGGCTTTAGGCCCACCACTTTGAAGCCCCCACACATATATTTTTTGAGGTACATCTAGTTACAGCTTATGCGACAAATCGGTCCTCTTCTTCACAAATGTCTCACTCTCTCTCTAAAAATTTTAACTAAAGTCCTTTTAAGTATAGATTTAAGTTCTTATTCATTGAAACATCTAAAAAATGGCCTTCACATTTCATTTCTCAACATAAGCATTCCTTCTGAGAAAAGGAATTGCACTTCAAATCCCAAACTCTAAACACACGAGACAAAAGCTTTCACCTTTTTCACTGCAAAAACTGCTAATATCCATGTCTGTTGTCATTGAAGTTGTGGACTGTCCGGTTAGAAACAAAAGGGAGATGAATGCATAGCTCTGAAAATAAAAATTGGGAACCTACGCCACTTACGATTCAACAATTGAGGTCACAATTCAATTTTACATGTTTAAAGAAGAAACAACAAATATGACCTTCGAGTTACAATTCATAACTTAATGCCTCAGCTCTTCTGGCATTGTTGTTCGTTGGAAGTAATTTTTTACTTTAAACTTCTTTTGTTTGAAAAGCCTACCACTGTGTTGAAGCTATGGCAGGCGGCGTAAATTGATTCGACTCTGGACAGCTTGGAAATGAAATGGAGAACAGAGCAACCCCATGTGCGCTTTAGATCTTATCATTCACACCTTTGGAGACTGATTAACCCCTCCCACCCCGAAAGAGAAGTTAAAACTTAAAAGGTCAATTGATTGAACTCTTCTCAAGTATTCACATGTTCCTATCCAATGATTTAGTAGCAGCTTATCAGACAGGTCAGCCAGGTCCAGAAAAGTAAACTTATTAACTCGAGGAAACTAATGTTTCTTACCTTGTGA